TCTCTCTCTCTCTCTCTCTCTCTCTCTCTCTCTCTCTCTCTCTCTCTCTCTCTCTCTCTCTCTCTCTCTCTCTCTCTCTCTCTCTCTTGTTTGTCTCTTTCTCTCTCTCAGATCCCTATCTCAATTTGCTAGGATAGTTGGAGCGAGGTGGGGGGCTTTGCTCCTCGACCTTTACCCCAACTTGAAAGACTTCGTGGCCTTGACGATTAGCTCATTTCGGTCGGACCCCGATTTTCCAAGTGTTCTTTCGCCTTCTAGTATATATTGAGTTTTTTGACTCTCTTTTTGACTCTCTTTTTTGGTTCTCTATTTTTTGCTATTTTATGTTCTAATTTTTGTTCTTTTTGTTCTCTTTCTTTGCGTGTCAGACCTGGATGCGGACGTGATGAAGCGAAATAGACCGAAGATTATTTGGAGTTTGTTTTGGGCAATAGATGAAGTAATTTTGTGACGTGTCCTTAACTCTGGGCCCCTCGATACCTTTGAGCCAGGATTTAGGTTCGACTTCGGCCTTGGAAATTTTTGAAGGTGTTTTTTGGACTAGTTTTTGCTTGATTTTCATGCCTACCCAGTGTGAGGTCGTACTATCGATTCCACACCATAAAATGAGACGGTTTTTTGCCAGTTTTTCAGTAAGTATACAACCAAGGATAACGGACGATAAAGAGTGGGATTTTTCGACGTCGTCTCATCCGCTGACGGATTTGCTTTATTTGTACTCTACATAAAGAATCGCTACGACATATCTAATTAAGGGTAAGGAAGACAAGCCAGGCAAACCGGTGCTTAGCTTGATAAGGGGAAGTATATGGTGATTGACGATGCTTGGCTCATATCGGGAGAAATGGGGTCAATGGAACGTTGGGGTTTCTATTTGGGAATAACTTATTACAGTAGTTACCTAAGGCTGGACGCACGTTGGGAAGCTGGTAGTATGAGAAGAAAGAGAAAAAAAAGTAAGTGGAACAGTGCTGTGATGAGAGGAGGAGGTGTTAGTATTTAAGGAGGAGGAAAGGAAGGCCCTAACCCTCTCTCTACAAGCGGACTTGGCTTGGTACGGGAAATCTCCCTAAAGAGCTATGGAATTTACACCCATAGCGAACCACGTCAGAGAGCTGTGTGTTCTCTGCTTAAAGTTTAAGATATCGAGTGTTTATCTCTCGATTTGAGATATTGAGTGGTTCTCTCGGTTGTATCCCAGTGGCGTGGTGATTGGTCATACAGATGTTGTGTGATCCTCCAGTTCGACAACAGTGTGGCCGCTGTGTCTGTGATTACTCTCTCTCTCTCTCTCTCTCTCTCTCTCTCTCTCTCTCTCTCTCTCTCTCGGCTATGGCTGCTCTCTCTCTCTCTCTCTGATCCCTAGCTCAATTTGCTATGATACCTAGAGGTAGGTGGGGGGCTTTGCTCCTCGACGTTTACCCCAGCTTGAAAGACTTTGTGGCCTCACCCTCAGCTTGACGATTAACTCATTTCGGTCGGACCCCGATTTTCCAAGTGGTCTCTCGCCTTGTAGTATATTTTGAGTTTTTTTACTCTTTTTTTGGCTCTTTTTTTTTGTTATCTATTCTTCCCTATTTTATGTTCTAATTTTTGTTCTTTTTGTTCTCTTTCTTTGCGTGTCAGACCTGGATGTGGACGTGATAAAGTGAAATAGACCGAAGATTATTTGGAGTTTTTTTTTGGCCATAGATGAAGAAATTTTATGACGTGTCCTCAACTATGGGCCCCTGGATACCTTTGAGCCAGGATTTAGGTTCGACTTCGGCCTTGAAAATTTTTGAAGGTGTTTTTTGGACTGGTTTTTGCTTGAGATTCGGGCCTACCTAGTGTGAGGCCGTACGATCGGTTTCACACCATAAAAATAGGACGTTTTT